TTGCACCATTATTTTCTGTGTCACAAAGAAGAGACTGCCAATTATAGCATGACATGATGTTTTCCTAACATGTCAATTGTAACAGGCATCAAAATTACAGAGATGTTAAGATATGAAGATATGGGTGTTTTAGAATCAACAAGATGTAATGTTTTCCAAATGTTTCATTAGTTGATACTAATTGAAGCTTCTGTCATGTTAAAAGTCAGGTTAATTTGCTTCCATTGGCCAGTTCATCAAATATTTGAAAAGTATTCACAGCCAACCTGAACCTGATTTTCCAGTCTTATCAACTTTAGCTTATTAACATGGTTTATATCTAATCATCTCAGTTTCATCTCAGTTTCTGTCTACTGAAGCCATTCTACTCTATCTGAACCTCTCCTTATTTATAGATGCAAGCACCAAGCATTTTTTCCAGCACCAACAGATAAAATTATAATCAAAAGATACAAATACTCTACTGTCAATAATTCAGTGGATACACACCCTAGTTGGTGACAAAGGACATGTAAGTAATGAGATCTAGCTAAAATAGTGTAGGTATTTTACAAAGTTGCTGTGGAGACCCAAAAATAGTCAAAAAGAAGGAAAGATATTTAAGTGTCATACCTAAAGAGAAATGGAAGTTTCTATGGGGGAGGGGGGCGGTTCTGGTCTATGCTATACCTATACTGGCCTATACAGGTGTAGCATTTATACCTATACAAAGGATAAACTTCTTTCCTTATCATCTTTTTCTTATTATTATTTTCGACAAAATTTGTGAAATTTTGATGGTCTCACAATCTAAAAAATCCTCCAAATATTTTGAGCACAGGCTAAATTGTCTTCACTCCAGTCTGCCACTCTTCCCGTCAAGTGCTTCATAAGGGGGTGGGGGGGGTGAAAGAGAGAAGGCAGGGATTAGCCAGAGAAAGCAATTAGTTTTCCTTCTAGATGTAAATGCAGGTTTTTCTGTTTATTCTTGTCTTTATCAGTTACTTAAGAGAATATACTGATAAATTACATATCCTTCTAATAGACCATTTCTACTAACAAGGTCTACTCCTTCATTGGCTAAATACAGTCTATGAAACTTGAGTTGTGCATTCCTGAGCAAATTTAGCTTCTACTATGAAACAGGGACTAAAATGTAAAAAGAATTCAACAACAGCGAAGTCTACTCTGCCTACTGAAATGTCCAGAGTAGTCAAATACCTGTGTAGGTCAATAACATTTTGCTGCTGTGTATTAATATCATTTGGAAATCTCCTGGCTATTGTAATTTACCTATAGTGATGAGTCAAATATAATGATCAAGGGGAAATGTCTTAATGCATCCTGGGATCCAACCCATTTTAAATACACTATTGGAAACTCTCCCAGGATTAGAAAATCTGGATAAGCACATGAAGCTTGTGTGAATTTATTTTAGCTTGTATAGAGATGTCTATGACTCTACAAAAGGGGAATTCCATCGAGGTTTCCTGTCTCCTTTGTTTCAGCTCAATAATACCCAGAGTGGTTAAACCTTTTCCTCCTTAAACACTGGTATTTGTGTGTGTGTGCACGCACACACACATACACACATGAACATAAGTACATGCACTCATGCATGTGATCTGTTGCACACATGCAGGGCAAAGGTGGGAAAAGAGTATTTATTCTTCAGGGAAATCTGTGCACTTCAGAAAGCCACAGCGATTAGGTGATAAGCACTGAGCATATGTACTTTTTCTGACACCAACACATTACATTAGGGGAAATATTTGATGGAAGATTTGGATTGGTGAATCAAAACCACCCGTGCCAAGAGTTTTAATTAGGCTCATGGTTTTAAAAGTAAACTTTTTTTCATCTAATCAAGAGTAATTGTTGATGAGCATTAAAATGTTTTTGCCAGATAATCATTGCATCCAGATGTATATTATAGAAAAGAAAGTCAGAGAATTTGTAATTATTTATTTATATGAGCTCCCATTATAAGGATAAGATAGCCTCTTAATCATCTGAAGAAAGATTTAGTGGAAGTTGAAAAATCCCTCATCAAAATTAATATCCCTAGTAATGGTCGATGAAGGAGGCATTTTTTTATTGAAACTTTGCAATCTGTAAGAGGACAGAAGTACAAGTAATTTTGACTGAAACATATAAAATAACGAACTGTTAGAAACTGTCATACTTATCAGCTGGACCAAGTTAGCAAACATAACAAAGAAAGTGAGGAAAGGCCCTCACTTCGGAAGGCCCTCCCAGTTCCCCAGCTGCTGCCCCTCAGCTTGGCCCTGCAGAGCCAGGGTGTAGACAACCCTGCTCTCTCCTCTCCTGGAGCCCTAGCCCCAGCTGACAGTCCAGGGGGATCACATGACCAATCAGAGCCACTTCCCAAGATATTGGTCATGGAGAGGAGAGAGAATCACTGACAGATAGTGGGCTCTGGAAGTGTCTGTGGTGCTGCCCTGACCTGTGGACTGAAAGACAGAGGATGCAGCTGTGCAGGGACCACAACAGCAGTGGGAGCCCAATGAGGAGGAGAGCACAGCACCCTAGGTATCTACCTCCAGGCCTTTCGGAAGGCCCTGTAGAAGGTCCACTCTTGAAATTCAGAGAGAGAAGACCCCGGCCCCATGATGATGACGGCAAAGTCCCCACATTTGTCCAGCCTTCTCCATTCCACTTCTGTTTCTCACCAGCATGTTTTTGGTGAGACAGAGAGTGAGCTGGAAACAGTATGTATATAAAGCCTGGCAATCACTTAACCTGAGTACTCTAGCACTTTATCTCTGAAATGAGGATAAGCCAATTCTGGACATTTATACCAGCTGTGTAATGGAAAAGTAATAATCATGGTGGTAAGTATTACTAGAAGTCCTCAAAAATAGCCTCCAAACCTATTGTAGTAGAAAGAGTGTTATCCTTTACATGATCTTATGCTGACTCTTGAACTGTTGTGAAGCCGAGTGATTGTTTATCCACTCTTAATAACAAGCAGTTGTCTCAACCACCTTTGATATGTGACTTAATGGAGTTTGAAAAATAGGATATCGCAAACAATTAGTGATTTCCTTTGCGTGTTAATAACTGCTTCAACAAGAACATTAACTTCACTGTTGGTCCACTTTTACCATAAAAAGAAATACCAATTGCACATCTTTCTGCAAAAGGAAGCCTAATAATGTAACTTGGTTTTTTGGTAGACTAATGCATGTATGCATTTATTGCTTTTAAATATATATATATATTTGTATATTATATAATTATCTATTGCACGTGCTCATATATCGTATACACACCAGCATATCAGTGATATTTCTGCCTCATCTGCTTGCCAGTTTTAGCGCCTTGAACATGTTTCTTACCCTATGCAATCTTTTGATTAATCTATTTCCTCTGTCCTAATGGAGGGGGAGGGGAAATCTCAGCACTTGTTGAAAGAAGAATTAAATAGTCTCTGAAAGTACTTTGTAAGCAGGGAGGGACTATGCAAACATAAGGAGCTAGTATTTCCAATTAAAGACACGAGAAATTCCTAATCTGAGGAAGGCACCAGGAATGAAAAGCAGTTTTCTCGCCTCCTTTCTCCACAAGAGTTTAAATCGCCTCATGAAGAGGAAATGGCCAGGCTCGTTCTGTAATTTGTGGCAATTCTTCATTAGAGGAAGGTTTCCCGGAGAAAGAAATTCAAAGTCTTTCCATCCTCCACATGTGGAACATCTGTGCTAAAAACCCCTCCAAGCACACTTCTTTGAAGCGCTGGCTGCCTAGAGGAAATACTTTGATTTGGGCTTTATTTAAATGCCTGAACTTCTATTGGAGAAACAAAAGATTTTCTAGTAAGAGCTCAGTTGGGAAGGAGACCAACCTCCAACCAATTTAACCACTCAGAGGCCAAGTGGCCTGGAGGTTCTTTTCGGGTTTTTTGTGTTTTTTTTCTTTTTTTTTTTTCCTTAACCCGGAGTAGTGGAAATGTCCCTGTGCACTTGCAGCACAGAACAGCAGGTTGGGGGTGCTGCTCACCCTGGGCGCAGTCACTCTGGTGATTAGATTCAATTTCTCCGAGTCCAGCAGTGCCTGGCTCCATCATGTCTACATCTCCTATGCAGAAAACCATTACTCTCATTTCAAATGTTTTGACATGCTTAAGATTTTTGCAGCTTAGATCCCTAATATTAGAAATTATTCCTTTTCAACTGTAAACACAGCTACTCAAACTGCTCTGTGTAGCAAAGAGTTTAATTTGGAGGTTATCCTACTTGGGAAACTTTCAGAGAAAGCTCTTAACACGTTAGGCAGATCATGAATATCATTACATGCCCCACTTGAACAGTCTTCGGTGTCCCTGTATTAACTCCCCGAGGAAGATGGAATCAGCCAGAAGTCACTGCGACTCGGAAGGGTCTCGCTTCCCAGGGTCTCTGCAAACCCAGGGAAGCGTGGCTTTGCACTACAACATCCTGGGGTTACTCACTCTGAAAGCCTACCAGAGACCACAGGGCTATGCAAAAAATCTGTCTTCCTGGGAGGAGAGGAGACACGCATGGAGCTATGTCTGCCTGCGTCTGGAGAGCGCCTGTGTGTGCTGTAAGGAAAAGCAAAAGCCGTCGATGTTGCTCTCTCAGGAGACGGCTGCTCGCCTTCCACGAGCGCGCGCTGCTCGCGCCGGGGTGCGTCGCGGGCCAACTGATAGCGCGAGGAGGCACCACGTCCCTGGGAATTGCAATTGCTGGGTGGGTAAAGAAAGAACATCCTCCGAGCGCTGCTGAAAACAGCACAAGGTGCATGTTGACCGCGGGAAGGGAGGGCAGACGGCGTCGCAAGTTCTGAGACTGTCTTAACCGCCCCCCTCCTCCCAGCTCCCCCCACAAAAAATAAGGCAGGAAAGCCGGGGCCGCGGGAGTGTTGCAAGGAGCGAATTGCTCAGGACTTCAAACACTGGGAGTCTTTCTGCCAAGGGGAGGGGCGGGCGGGGGCAGGCGCTGGGCCTCTCGCACAAAGTCCTCCGCTTTGCTCCCTCCCACTTCATTCACTTGCAAATCAGTGTGTGCCCACCAGAGCCAGCTCTCCCCAGCCGGTAACCTTCCCATCCCGAGAGCTGCAGTTGCAGCCGCAGCAGCGAGCCCGGCACCGGCGGCCACCGCAGCGGCGCGGCAGGAGCACGAGCAGCCCGGGCGGGTCGCAGGGGCTCCGGGGCGCAGCCGGGCGCGCGGAGGTGGGTTCGGTCTCCGAGGACCGTGGTGCATGCTCTTTTTTTTTTCCTTTTTAATTCTGTAGCGTTGATGGAAGCCAATCAGAGGAGGACTCGGTTCCGCCCGGGGGTGCCGCGCTGGAGTTGGGAGGATGCGGAGCCCGGAGCCGGGCCGGGCCGGGCGGGCGCGCGGGGCGGGCTGAGCCGGCGGCGCTGCAGCCGCGGCCGGACCCGCGGCGTCCCCGGAGCCCGGGCGCCCTCGGGGAAGACAGCTCGGCCGCGGGGCGCAGTGGGGGCGCCCGCTGCCTGTCTCCCCGCGAGCAGAGGCGGCCCCCGAGCTCCGCGTTTGCGAGAAGTTGGGGGATCCATGACCAAGGGCGCGGATGCGCGCAGGACCCGCCGAGCCGTGAGGGGCTTGGTTTATCTCCACCTGCCCACATCGCAGGGAGCTGTGCGGGAACTGTTTTGGCTGAGTTGCATCTCTTGGCTTTGGGCGTAAGGCAGAAAATCGGGCAACTTGAAAACTCCTCAGTGTCCCCAATAAGGGCAACTTAAGCTGAAATGATGATTTGGCTGAGAAACAGAGGGGGGAACTGTTAGCTCGCACGTTCTGGGCAACGCCTGCCGGCTCATGTAGGACAGAAATGCTTAGGTTGCAAGGAAAGTGCAACACTGGGCGATGAAAATGGAGCACACTGTCCAGGGAAAAGTAATGTGCACGACGCAGCTCGCTCCGGCTCTCCGAGGCTGGCCGGGAGCGCGGCGGGGCATGGTGCCTCCCCCGGGCTGGCTGGAGAGCACACCCAGCGCGCCTGGGTTTGGGTGTCAGATTCAGGAAAAGTAGAACCTCCGATGTGTGCATTCTGGAATTTAAGGGGACGTTGCGATGTCGGGTGCTGCAGCAGTGCCAGGTGACTCCGTCTGTAGTTGGATATTCTGCCAAAGAGTTATCGGAGATCTCGAGATGGGAGATGCTGGCGAGGTCAGCGCGGTGCTGAGAAGTGTTGTCACTGCTGCAATAAAATCCATATTTTATGGGGAGTTATACGCAGGTCCCTGTTAGTGCAAGTGTTCACCTGAGTTAACTGCTGAGAGCGTTCAAGAACCAAGTTTAATCATCTGGAATAGTCCACATTTCACTCTGCCTTTGTCGTGTTTTGTTTTTTGTTTTTTTTTTCTGTAAAGACATTTTATTTATGATATTCACACTACAAAGATGTATCAGCCTGTGCATCGGCCAGTCTTCACTTTCACTTACTGACAAGCTTAATGTGGGAAAGAAGAGGTTTTTCCTGCAAGAGCGTTGCTGGAGTGACTTGTGCATGCATGGCTGGCTGCTCTGGAGGGGGTGCACTCTTACAAATCGTGGGCTTTCTTAGTGTTTAGCACCCAAGGGAGCATCCAACTCTCCAGGGGTTAACAGGGATCCCCCTAATTAATGCACCACTCTTCTAAAAATGAGTAACAAATATGCTTATCCAATGACCAAGGATTCCTTATTTCCCTTTCTTTTCTTGTTGATGATTCTACCTGAAAAGGAAAAGCTTCAGGAGCCTACTTTAGGAGAAACAAATTTCTTCCAGTTTAGCTTGAGCATCATCCTTTGTGTATTAACACTCGCATGGTTCTGTTTGCTATTTTAGAGAGCTGGAAAACAAGTCGTGTGAAGGAAGGGAATATGATCAAACAGATGTCTTCATTATGTCATAAGGAGGAGGGCAAAGTTTATGCCAGAGGCCAGATTTTCAATCTGGCCTCAGAAACTTAAACAAAATCCAACAATTTACTAGAAAATATAATTACACAGGATTGTATCATGCTCCCTTTTGCTCTTTGCTGTGTTCTAATTAAAAAGGTATGGGGGGGGGGAGTAAAGGCAGATCTTTTCCTATCTATTTTGATAGTTCATGGAATACTTTTGAAGCAAAAGAAGTAACCAGTTTCCTTAGAAAAACATGAGAGGCAGCAGTACATTTTTGAAGGAAAATGGCAGTGGTTTAGTTCGACTGTACCTGTCTGCAATTATCTGTTGCTACCATTATAAGTAAGTGACAGACTGGTGTCTCTATAGGGACTTTTAGTCCCTTTACTATCTGGCTTTTACATCAATTTATTGCAATTACATTTCTTAATGCCAACTCTGCAAAGATATTATATAGAAACAAAATCATTTTCACCAAGTTGCCTACTATCAGAAAATGTGTACCTACCTCCTCCACCCACCACTTCCATCAGCTTTGCAAGTGAAAACTTGCTTTGAGGTGCTCTTCCTTTTTAAGGAAAAAAATCTATTTTGCAAAATACTGCTTGGAGATACTTGAAACTGCCAAAATTTCTGGAAAGCACAACTACAGTTTCAAGGCATCAAATGACACTTCCCCTTGCAAATGTATCAATTAGTTGGGACAACAAGTTCCAACTATCTAATTAGGACTAACTGAGTGATTGTCCCACGTAGGGATTTTTTTGAAGATAAAATGTGATAAACATTCTAAATAAAAATCCTCTCTCTTCCTAAGGAATTGAACACAGGCCTCTTTCATTCTAGCCCTCGCTGGCTCTGTAGCCATGAAGGCCAACTTACTAATAAGGCCAACATCTTTGAACTATCAAAACTTTTTCAGTTGGAAGGGACCTCTAGTGGGTCACTCCATGCATTTCTCTCTGTAGTTCAGTTACATCATGGATTTTGTTATTTCAAATAATGACACTGTAATGGCTGTTTTCCCCATAGACAATGTACTGATCTCCAGGACTACTTGGACATTAATGTCAGGCCAAAATCATTATTACTATTTGGCTAACATTTGTGGAGTCCCTCTAACTTTAAAAACACAAGAGTCCATGCATAGTTTTCAGAGCATCTAGACTTTTCTATGATTCCAGATAAAAGCCATCACTAATTGAAAAAAAAAAAAAATCATCACCATCAGTATACATTTTTCTTATTTCTGGTCTTACCAAGACTGTACTTCTTCCTTCTAATGTACACAATAATGATGCTTTACAGTTACGACTCCAAAAGCCCCACATGAAGAACCCTCACCACTCCAGCAGTGTTTGCAGAAAGCTGGTTTAATTGCTCATTCCAGGATCCATGAACAGTCACCATGTCCCCATTCAAATAAGTATATATTAAAGGCCTGAAAGCTATTCAGATGTATGTGTCATCCTTATTTTGGAAGAAAGGTTTTCTTAAATTCTTTTCTTTGATGTAGCACAACACATTTGAGGGTAACCTACTCCTTAAGAATATCCCGCCTGGACCTTAAAGTAAGATAAATTCTGTGGAGGTGAATCAGCCTCTTCTGCTGACAGTTTGCAGGTTTCCACTTCCAATTTAAAAATCTGTTCTACAGTTTGAAATGTGTTCCAAATGAGACAATATCCGGCAGGAGCCAGTTGCCTGAGCTGCTCGCTTAGTCACCACAGCCCATTTTGGGGGGTTGATTGGAATTAGGGTTTCACTTATAAAAATAATGAGTAGTGGCTCAGTCTGAATTGCATTTTTATAGTGTTTCAGCCTATTGAGTATCTACCGAGTGTACCTTGTTTCACAAAAAGGTGAAAATGTAGATAACCCCACCTTCTCTAGTCTACATTTTTTTCCTGAGTGGTGATTCTAAAGACAAAAACTCAAGAACAATGTGCTAATAGGGAAATTGTTGAAAGAAGAACCTTAACACACACACACACCCCTGGGCAGATTTTTTTTGTCTCTTAATTCTTTTCTTATTTTTTTTTTTCTTCCTCCGGTAGGATTTTTATTTTGTTTAGAAGATAGTTGGGAAAATGAGGCACTTTCCTGGATAGAAACAGTAAATTTTTTTCTAGCTGTCTTCTTATGAAGATTAATAGACCCACCTTTTTAAAAGTTCCCATTCCTCAGGAATGAACCCTTTTTCAAAGCAGTCATATGAGAACCTTCAGGGTCTCCCCAATTACCTATAGAACCAAACATATATAATCTTTGCAACCCCATTACTCACAAAGTGGGAAGACAGTTAAAAGTGGAAAAATACAAAACCCCTCAAAAGGTGGAGCACCTTCACTTTCTACACAAGTAAAATGGTTGGGCCAGAGAGGGCCAGATCCAACCAGTATCTTGATGTTCCAGACTGAACTCTCCAAGGAATTGTTATCTCATCCAACAAAGAAAACTTACTGAAGAATGACTGCTCTGAGCACAGGCGTATAAATGGAGACATGTGCGCAGAGGGTGCTGGGCCCATAGATAATGAGACATGATTTTACATGATTTTACCTTGTTTCATCTGTTGAGTAGCTTTACATCAACACTGCTGGCTGTTCATTTCCACTATTAACCAGATCACCTTGCTGTGATTTGTAAGAGTTTGATTAAAGCCAGAATGTTGTTAATGTGATGTGCCAGGTAGGCGGACAAGGGCCACAAGCTTTTCCTGCTGTCCACAGAGCTACCTGTGGACCAGAACAACTTCTGAAGAACGGGGAGGGGGTGGGGGGCATAAAATGGCCACCAAAGAGCATAATTCATCTTCATACCTTTGGGCTTGAGCACTGTTTTCCTCTTTCTATAATGTCCTAAACTGGTAGATCTGCCCAAAGGAACTTCAGGGGATTGAATAAGTTGTAGGGATGAGAAAAAAGTGAAATTGAGGAGGTATCCAAATGAGTAAATTGAAGAGAGATGAGATGAATTTTTATATGAGAGAAATATAGGCACAGAAAGATTAGAAGTTTCTTTTATGCAAGGTGCATTTCCACCTTTTATAGACTACAGCTATGAAATACAACATTATTGACATGATTACACCATTGACATGTTGATGAACACAAGTGTTCTCTACCATGGGATGCAAATTTGAAAACTGTCCTTAAAAACCACCATTTAAAGGGCATGCTCATGTGTGAATCATAAATAACTAGAAAAGTTTATTACAAAGTGAAATCTTATAAGAATCAAAGAAAGAGGTTTTCTTTGTGCTCTGAAAAACAAACTCTTTTCCATTTGTGATCTTTATTATCCTGAAAGCTAAACAGAT